CTTAGCAATGTCTCATGAGCACAGGCGTAACTTGCCAGATAGCCTTGGAAAATGTGTCCATTATTTTGCAACAAAAAGAGTGGCATTGTTTGCCGTCCTTCCATGGGGCTATGGCAAGGAGCGTGGGAGTCTGCAAGGAGAGAGCCTGAGCAGCCTCCCCGGGCTGAGAGGAGGAGGAATGGCTGCAGCTTGTGAATCTCTCCAGAAACTCTTCTGCCGCAGGAGAGTTCTCATGACTAACTCATCCAGGAGTCCCAGGGCCTTTTGCTACCATCTTTCCAAATAACCAATGCCAAGTGTCGACCAGGATTAGGGGAGTGGTCATGCAAACCCCCCTTCAGTTACTCTGTCCCTCTTTTTCTTTTAACATTGATTTCAGAGAGACAGAGGGAGAGAGAAACATTAATCAATTGTCTCCCATATGCAACCCAACCGGGGATCAAACCCGAAACCTGGATATGTGCCCTGATCAGGAATCGAACCCATGACCTTTTGGTGCACAGGATGATGCTCTAACCAAATGAGCCACACTGGTCAGGTCTCTATTATTATTATTATTATTATTATTATCATCATCATCATCATTAATCTTCTGTTTTTGTCTTATTCAGTCATCTGGCACTTATTATATTCCACCCCCTCAATTCTGTTTATACTTAATATTATTTTTATTAGTTTCAGGTGAACAACATAGTGGTTAGATAGTCATATACTTTACAGAGTGGTCCCACTGATATTTCCAGTACCCAACTGGTATTGTACATAGTTATTACAATACTAGAGGTCTGATGCATGAAATTCGTGCAAGAGAGGCCTTCCTTCCCCCGGCTGCCAGCACCGGCTTCCCTCTGGCACCCGGGACCCAGGCTTCCCTCACAGCCCCAGCTTCGTCTGGAAGGTCACCTGGAAGGACATCTGGTCTAATTAGCATATTACAGTTTTATCATTATAGATTATTGATTGTATTTCCTAGGCTGTAATTTACCTTCCTGTGACTATTCTGCAACAACCAATCTGTACTAGTACTTCTCAATCCCTTCACCTTTTTCTCAAACCCTTCACTGAATAACCCAGTGCCCCAACCCCCAACTCCTCTGACAACTGTCAGTCTATTCTGTGTCTATGATTCTGTTTCTGTTTTGTTTGTTTATACTGTTCTTTATTTCGTTAATCCTCACCTAAGGATATTTTTCCATTGATTTTTAGGGCGAGTGAAAGAGAGAGGAAAAGACAGAGAGAAACATCGATGTGAGAGACACACATCGATTGGTTGCCTCCTGCACAGGCTGGGGAAGAGCCTGCATCCAAGGTTCATGCCCTGGACTTAAGATTTGCTAAACATTGCTCATTTTCAAAAATCAATTTTATTGAGATAGAACTGCTAACTTCAAAAATAGATCTTTAAAACACTTTGTAATTCTGTAGAAATGGTAGAAAACTAAAAGCTACGTTCTGCATAAACTGAAATATCACCTTCTTGAAAGTCAGGGAACAGACACACCTTGGAGACGGGTCTAAATTGCAGGGGCAAAAATCAGCCTCTTAAGAGTTAAAATTATAAAACAGAAATCATAAGGCAGCAGCTTTGTGGGCAGCCTTAAGATTGCTATAATTATTAGGTAAGCTTGCTAAGGTTGGGAGGTAGAAACTCTCACCTAGTAAATAATGCAAATAATAATACTATGGGAATACTCAGCTGCCAGATAGCTGAAATATGTCAGAGGAAGGACTCTAATAAAAATGAAACACCTTATATTTATATGACACTCTAAGGTTTTAAAAGATCTTTCATTTACATTCATCTTATTTGATTTGATCTCCACAAAACATTCCCTGCTGCTGGTAGGCCAGGTATCATTCTTCTCATTGGAACTCAGAGAGGTTCTAGGTTACTAGGCTGCAAAGAGGCAGGGAACAGTCCCCTGGGAAGCAGGGGTTAGGGTCAGGGCCATGCATACATGGCATTGTCTATTTTTTTAAATCCTCACCCAAAGATACGTTTTTATTGATTTTTAGAAAGAGGAAGGGAGAGAGAGAGAGAGACATTGATGTGAAAGAGAAACATCGATCTTTCGAATTCTGGGGATCAAATCCGAAACCTTTTGGTGCACTGGATGACGCTTCAACCAACTGAGCCACCTCGCCAGGGCATCGTTGTCTATTTTGAATTAGAGAGTTTACATCATATAAATGCCCAGGCCTGCTCAGAACTGGTGCAAGCAGAAGAAAAACAGAGAGGGGATGAGCACTTTAACACAATTTACAGATCACTGCCTTTCTTGCCAACAAGAAAAGTCTCCAAAATCTTGAGGAACGGAAGTGGAGGAGGGTGGGGGAAGGAGCGATGCTGGTGACAGGTTCTGTCCCTGGGAGATGGGAGTCACACCATCATGGCTGTGAAAAATGAATCATGTCTTTTCTATCACGTCTTCCCACAGGCTTTCTGGGAAGCTTGTCATTGAGGATACAATCGAGATGACTGTCCTTTTTGGTAGCTTAGCATTTTCTGGAGGGAAGAGTGTAATTTGGAGATTAAATGGAAAATTAAAATGAAAACTAAACGTATGTATGTTGCTTTTGTGGGCTGTGTTCACCTTGACAGGCGGTCAGCACAGCCAGCCTAGTTGAGGGAGAAAATGTCAGATTTGGTTGCAAGTGTGTAAAGGCAAGCATGTCAAACTCGCAGCCCGCGGGCCATAACAAATATTTTTGTGGCCCAGCCAATATAACGGTATATAAGAAACGTTTTAATAAAAATTTCGTAACTTAATTTTTACAATATCCCTGTTATACATAATTATTAATAACAAACTACAATGTTTGCTAATGAGTGATGACTATAATCTTGTTGCATTCATTTCCCTTACACACCTTAATGCACAGGTGCACCATTTCTCTCCACTAACACTAGCAGCGAATATTTTAGCAGCCAATGGTCATGTCATTAGTCTTGGACTGACTTGTTTGGTGTGCGCAACAGGAAATATTTCGCTTTTGGAAAACAAGAAAAATGGGTTTATTTGCGTTACACTTATTCATTTGTGCAGTTATTCAGTGTTTGGTTAGTGTTCAAGAAAAAATATTAATTTTTATTAAAATGTTCTATTATTTTATGTTAACGATTACTCATTTATTTCAGCTCTTTGTATTCAGCATGTCTCTATCGAAATAAACCTACGTTTCTATGAAAATTGAAGCTTTTGTTTTTTTGCGGCCCACACAAACATAAACCTTGTTTATTTGGCCCGTGTTAGCCTTTGAGTTTGACATGCTTGGTGTAAAGGAGTGATCCTTTTAATCCCACCTTTCGTGCTGGGTCTGGCTCTTCAAATTAGCAGCTGAGCATCTAAATGGCACCTCTCGTGCATCATTATTTTAAAACTTCATTGAAGGAGAGTTATGGTCCTTGTCTTCCAGATGAGAGAGCTTAAGGCCACGGCTGAGGGCACACACTGCCGGGCTTCTCGCTCTCTCCACTTCATCACGAGGTGGACCCCCATCTATAGATGGGGGCGGAGTAGCTGATGTGGTTTCTCACTGGCTTCTTGTTAAGAAGCTGACCAGTCATTTCATTTTGCTTGTACTGGAGGCTTTTCCAGGACGTGGGAGAGCTAGTTGAGACAATCGGTCACCCTACTTATGTTTCCAGAAGTCCTCATAGGAGTTTCTTCAAGAGCCACATTGAGGGCTAAAACTTTTTAGGAGTGCGCAGCTATATATGTATAGCATTTGCCAATAATTTCCTTCTACTCAAAAAATATTGGTTGCCGAACCGGTTTGGCTCAGTGGATAGAGCGTCGGCCTGCGGACTCAAGGGTCCCAGGTTCGATTCCGGTCAAGGGCATGTACCTTGGTTGCGGGCACATCCCTACTGGGGGCTGTGCAGGAGGCAGCTGATCGATCTCTCTCATTGATGTTTCTAACTCTCTATCCCTCTCCCTTCTTCTCTGTAAAAATTCAATAAAATATATATTTAAAAAAATATTGGTAGACATTTAAAATTTTAACTTTTTGCTATTCTAAGATTATCATTTTGATTGTTTTTCTTCTTCCTTGTTGTTGTCTCAAATCCACAAAGGGTAATGGATGGAATGGAAATAGAAGAAAAAAATTAATAAAAGAAACTGGCTCCCATTTTTAAAATGTGGTCTTGGTTGTAGTGTGCTGAGGACTGATCTGTAGGAGTCATTCTCAAACGTGAACATTGTGGTAGGCAGCCTGCAAGGCGGCCTCAATGACTCCTACCTCTTCGTATTCATGATCTTGTGTAATTCTCTCCCTTTGAGTGTAATTCTCTTCCTTTGGATTTGTCTTTCAAAGTCTCCCTCCCCATCCCACCCCCACACCCCATCCCTGGCTCTGGGGAAAGCCAGCAGCCATGTGGTGAGGAACTGGTGTTTCCAGCGAGTAGCCAGCACAGACTTGAAGCCTGGAAAGGCCACGTGAGTGACCTGGGAGGCAGATTCTCTAGCACCAGCAGAGCCATGAGCTGCTGCTGCTTGTACCCACACCTAGTGCAGCATCTCGAGACCCTGAGCTGGTGTCACAAAGCTAAGTCATCCCCAAGTTCCTTACAAACTGTGACATAAGAGATGGCTGCTTTCGGTCTGTGTTTATTTGTTCAGAAGCAAGAGATAACCAATGCAAATATGTATCAGAATCACCTAGACAACAACTTGATAAAAATGCTTATTTCTGGCCCTAACTGGTTTGGCTCTGTGGATAGAGTGTCAGCCTGTGGGCTCAAGGGTCCCAGGTTCGATTCTGGTCAAGGGCATGTACCTTGGCTGTGGGCACATCCCCAGTGGGGAGTGTGCAGGAGGCAGCTCATCGATGTTTCTCTCTCATCGATGTTTCTAACTCTCTATCCTTCTCCCTTTCTCTCTGTAAAAAATCAATAAAATATATTTTACCAAAAAAAATGCTTATTTCTGGGTCCCAGCCCTGGAGATTTTATTCAGTAGGTGTGGCCTGAAGTCTTTTGCTTTTTACCAGGAATCCCAGGAGAATCAGAAGTACACAGCTTTCTACTTGAGAGCACACGGTGAGAATAAATACTCCCTGGGAAGGCCTATCAGAAGGAAAGACTGCAAGGCGGTGTGGGAGCCAGATGACATACAGGACACCAGTTATATTTGAGCTTCTGATAATGAATAAAAAAATGTTTTAATGTAAGTATGCCCCATGCAATCTTTGGAAAGTACTTATACTGAAACATTATCTTAAATTCAAATTTAACGGGGCGTTCTATATTCCCATTGGCTGAACACCATCCAGAGGGAAGGCCCAACTGGAAGTGAAGGGTGGCCTTCCTTTGCAGAAGGCAGGATTTTCATCCCTGGGGGCTGCAAGCTGACCAGCTGGGCCCTGCCCCTCCCCCACCCGGCAGGCAGGCCGCAGACGGAGGGCCCTTGGACTGTCTCCTTGGAGGGTTTGGGGAGAGCTGCTCAGGAAGTCCTCCCACACGGCCCTGCCTGTGCGGATGCTGACCTGGTAGGCGCCACCATGGCACTGGGACCTGGTTCCTTGGGTGCTGTTAGCACCAGCCCTTTGCCGAGCAGTGAATGAATGCCACCTTTCTCCCACACCCCTCCAGGCACTCAGCTGCATGCAGCTGCTCATAACAAACGGGTGCGTTTCTTATTCTGAGTGTATCCGAGTCTCTGATGGGTTCTATTCGTTGCAGCTCTCAGCCCTGTGAAAAGGATGGTTCCAGAGACACTCATTCCTCAATGACAGGTTTTAAGGAACTCAGGCCAGCCCAGGTGTGTGGCTCAGTGGTTGGGTGTCATCCCATGCACCAGGAGGTCACCGGTTCAAATCCTAGTCAGGGTAGTCCATCGATATTTCTCTCTCATCTATGTTTCTATCTCTCTCTCCCTACCCCTCTTTCTCTAAAAATCAATAAAAATGTATTTTTTTTTAAACAGGCACAAAAAAACCCACATATTTAAAAAAAAGAATTCAGGATTTCACTTATTTTGTACATGTTTTATTATCACAAGGAATGGTCTTAATTTTGATGTGTTTCTTTTCAGCTGCGAAATATCTTCCAAAAAAAGACAAAGAATGAGAGTGGGGTGTGGGGGTGCGGTGGGGGAGAGAGATTGGCTGGGTGGACTGAAATGCTTAAGGCAGGGATGGAAGATAAAGGCTCAGAAATGTGCAGCTATGATAGAATCTGAGCCTTGTGCTTTGAAATCAGATACCGAACATGAGGTCACGTCATTCTGGGCTCCAGTTCAGCCATGCCCGGGGGCCTGCCGGCCTGCCGCAGCCTGCAAGCCCACAGGAGAGAACTCAGCTGATTCTCTCTCCCAGGGAAACGGGGAGGGGTCTGAGCTTTGAGGAGGAAGGGAACAGGATCTCTATCTGCCTGGAGCCCCGCAAGGGCTCTAGGAGAACTCGGGGTGCTGCGTAGGCCAGCATGGCTAAAACAACACATTTGCAAAGTAGAAATCCAAGGATGATGGTGCCATTTCCAATCTTGTGTGTCAGGAAGAATCCCCCAGGAACCGCCCGGTGCCGGGCCCAGCCCTGTGGCTGACTTGGGCGGCTTGAGAATAAATACAGTGGCTCTCGACTCACAGGATGGCACACAGCCGGAAGGGACCTTGGTAATCCAGTCCAAGCTTCTTTCACAGAGAAGAATCCACACCCCCACTTCGGCCTTCGCTTTGGCCTCTCTGGGGATCCGAAAAAATTAATACACCTCAGTGTTATTGCGAGCATTAAGTGCAATGTGCATATAGAGCAGGGCACTTAGCACTCAATAAGTGGGAGATGTTATTATCTCACCACATCTGAGCGTCTAGGTGTTGGTGGTAATGTTAGAGACAGGGGCGTGTTTCAGGTCCTCGGCCGGGCACTACAGGAGAATTAAACAGCAGCTGGACACCGGCCAATTGGAGCAGAATGAAGTAGAGGCAGCCCTGGCTGGTGTGGCTCAGCTGGTTGAACGTTGACTCATGCACCGAAGGGTCACGGGTTTGATTCCCAGTCAGGGCACATACTCAGGTTGGGGGTTCAATCTCTAGTCAGGGAGGCAACCAATCAGTGTTTCTCACATCGATGTTTCTCTCCCTCCTTCTCTCTCTAAAATCAATAAGAACATATTTTTTAAAGAGTAGATGCAAAGAATAACTGGGAAGCTGTTACAACACTTCAGGAAGCAGATGGCGAAGGCCTGGGCTGGGCAGTGCTAGCAAAGGCAGGAGAAAAGCGGCACATCTGGGAGTCCCCAGAAAACACAAGTCAGGCTGAATATGACGGTGGGGTACAGGGAGCACAGGGTGGATTCTGATCTATCTCTACCAATAGCTGCCTGGCCTCAAGACCCTGAGTCGTTCGGAGCCTGTTTTTCACCTGCAAAATTAGGACAGTATTACTGTCCCCCCACCTCCTGGATTACTGAGTGTCAGCGATTTTAGCACACAGCACAGGGCTGCCTCTTCCTGGGGGTGCTCAACAACGTTTGTTCCCTTCCTCATCTACTCTTCTCTGTACCGCACCTCCTGTCTTGTGCCACGAGGCGGCAAGAGGGGGAGAGGGCCAAACAATGACATCTACTAGTATTTTCTAGGTGGTGCCATTAAGCAGGTGGGAAAGGTTAGAAAGGGGACTAGTCAGAAGTGGAAGATAGGGTTGATTTTTTAAACTTGGAATTTGAAGTGATGGTCAGCTAGTCATGCTGGTGGCTGATACCCAAGGGCCGAGAGATGGCGACAGGGGCCCGGGGGCAGGAGTCCTCAGCAGGGACACTGGGGGTGTTCAACCACAGGTGTCTCTTCATTCCTAGAAACGGAGCAGAGGCCATGGGTAAGGTGGACAAGCAAAGCTGAGGCCTTTGGGCTTAATCATGAAGACTCTAAAGATGAAGCTGACCGGGCATCACTGGCCAGACCACAGGACCCCTGGAAAGCTGGGCCCCCGCCTGAAGGTAAGGGCACCAGCACCATCCCCCTGGCTGCTCAGGTTTCAGGTTCCCATTCATTCTGAGTTGACAAGAGCCTGGAGGCTGGTGTCAGAACCCACTGCTTCTGTTTTCATTGTGCATCAAAGTGTGTCTGTGGGTCCCCTGGATTGTTAAGTCCGGGAAATAGATGTATTTTCTTCAACCTTGTATTATCAAACAGGCTTCCTGCTGAGCTAGGCCAGAAACAACCAAACACAAAGTCACCTCTTCACAATGACTGAGTTCCTCCCAGAGGCCAAGGTACCTGGCACACACAAGGCCTCTGTGTTTGTAGAACAGGAGTTGAAGGAAGTCACAGGAACCCGAGAAAGAAGTGACCAGAGCATGCCCGTGAGCTACTGGTGATAAACTGGCTGGCACGATGCTGGATCTTTTTTTAAAAATACATATTTTTATGGATTTCAGAAAAGAAGGGAGAGGGAGAGATGGAAATGATGAGAGAGAATCACTGATCAGCTGCCTCCTGCACACCCCACTCTGGGATCGAGCCCACAACCCAGGCATGTGTCCTGACCAGGAATCAAACCATGACCTCCTGGATCATAGGTCGACATTCAACCAGGAGCCACGCTGGCCAGGCATGATGCTGGATCTTGATTAGACCCCTGGTCTCAGGTAAGGGTCTCCCAGCTGCCCACTTCCTTGAAGACAGTGGGGTTGAGTCATGGCTCCTTACAGTAGCTGATCCCAAGAGAAGGGCAGTATGGTTAGAGCGGGAGGACTCTCCCTTGCTAGTTCTATGAGCTTGGCAGTCCTGTAGCCTCCTGCACCTCAGTTTCCCCCTTTGAGCAGTAGCTAGAACTACCAGTTTCCTGGCAAAGTTTAAGTGAGCCATGAGAGCACCGTGTTTAACACTCCGGTGTGGGGTGAATTTCCCGCCAAAATATAAGATGGCTCTGTCTTTTGGTTTTGTTCCATCCACCAAAAGGGTGGATTACAAACAAATATTTGGTAATACGCAGTTACAATCGGCCCGAGTTTACACGTTTCCCGCACTCCACCGCAAATCTATATGAACCGAGTTAAAGACAGCTCCCGCGGAGTACGCGCAATTCACGCGAGCCGACTTAACTCGTTTCCCCCACTCCAAGTGTTAACATGGAACTCTGACGGTAAGCTCAGTGCTGTGTCCCAGGCCCATCCCCTTTGTCCTTAGGGAACGGATTTATGTCAGCTGTTTCCTCGGCTCAGGAGCAGCATTGGGGAGGGCAGCGGTAAGAAAGTGAACCCTGTTTCCCGTCTGTAGTGGTTTGAATTGTGGCTCCCCCCAAACAGGCCAAGTCCTAATTCCCAGGACCTGCGGACGTGACCCTGTTTGGAAATAGAATCTTGCCAGATGTGATTAAGTGAAGGGTCTTTAGATGAGACCTTCCTGGGTTTAGGGTGGGCTCAGAGTCCAATAACTGATGTCCTTGTAGAGAAAGGGCAGGGACGTGCAGACACAGAGGGGAGGCCCTGTGAAGACAGAGGCAGGTGGGCGCCGTGTGAAGACAAGCTGAGGAACGCCAAGGGTTGCCAGCAGCCCCTAGAAGCCCGGAGAGAAGCCTGGGACAGATTCTCCCTCAGAACGTCCAGAGGAGCCAGCCCCGTCAAGAGCCTTGATTTGGGGCTTCTGTCCTCCCTAAGGAGCCACTTTTTGTTGTTTCAAGTTATTAAGTTTTGTTGTTTCAAGTCATTAAGTTTGCTGTAATTTGTTGGGGCAGCCCTAGGAAATTAACACACCGTTCCAGTTGAGGAGTCTTGGCAAGAGGGCCTGGCAGTCCGCTGGGTCACTTGGCGGTTCCCAGGCCCATGTGTCCTTAGAACCATAGCCTCCCTTCACTGTCAACACGCCCTTTGTCAGCTTGCGGTACAGAGCTGCTGAGCAGCAGCAGCATATTTTGACACGGGCGTTCCTTTCTCAGAAGCTCGTTCTGCACACCCCCACACGTGAAAACAGCGAGAGCTCAGAGCCCCGGTCCTCACACAGTGCCGCCCATTAGGATTGCCTGGGGAGTTTCTGAAGACCCCACAGTTAGGCTGCAAACCATACACATTAAACCAGAAGCTGAGTATCAGTAGTTTTTGAAACTCCTCAGGTGCTTTTAATATGCAATCAAATCCAAAGCCAGTGGCTTAGAGGCACTTCTCCCTCCCTGGCAGCCAGACCTGGAGAAGATGGGAGGGAGGGAGCTAGAAGCCCATCCCTTGCAGCAAGGCCTGGGTGAAGGCCTTGGAGTGAGTGAAGACGAAGACAGAATCTGGATTCTAAGGAGGCCATCTACTCCCAAAGCAAATAGAAGTGGTTACTGTGCTAGGGTGAGGGACTGAGGCATGAAAAGGGTTACGGAATGTGCTAGGGGGATGGATTGAGGTATGGAAAGGTAATCGGGTCGAAATCGTGACAGAGAAAAATTGCTAGATTGTCTCAGGAAACAATGTATTATGCTTCAACCCAGCCAGGTGTGACTCCGTTTACCTCCCCTTTGTTCTTGTGAACTTCTAAGGAACAGCTACTGAAATGCTTTGTGTGTTTTGTGAACTTCTAAGGAACAGCTAATGAAATGCTTTGTAGGTTTTTTTTAAACATTATGTAGATTTTGCAATAAAAGATTTTTCTGTACCCTTGTTCGGCACTGCAGGCTGTGAAGGGACGCACTGTAGTCAGCTGGCCAGCTTAATAAAGGCTCTTAAATTTAAATTCTGAGTCGGTGGTCTATCTCGCTGAGTGAACCCATAACAGTTACTTGCTTTGGGGTTCAGTTTCCTCACCTGGGAGATGCATTATTGGGGTAGTATGATCCTGAGGCTCCCTCCTGGAGCCCCTGACATTGGTTAGTTCAAGCTCAAGGCTCTTGGTTGAGAAAGCATGGCCACGCAGAACAGCCTCCATAACCCAGTGAACTAGAAAAGCACCAGGCCCTCCCCGGTCTGCCTGGGGATGTCATGAGACAGAAATTAGGTAAGATTAGAAGCAAGATGAGAAATGGGCGCTCTAAAGGGATGCCGGGTAATGCACACTGCTTGCCCCCAGTTCCTTTAGTTCAGCAAATCTTATGTTAGCACCAGATAAAGACAGTACAGGACGCTCTACATTGGAAGCATAGAGACGATACGCCGTTCCTGATACTGTGGGACTCCTGACTTTGGTATAAATTTGAGTGTTTTATCCCAAATGAGAAAGCTGAGTGATTCTGTTTTGGGATGAACCCACTGGGAAAAATGATGGAGTATCAGAGCACCTCTTTGCCTTCAATTTCCAGAATCACATCTCTTCAGGGCTGTGACAAGTATTAGTGCTGTTCACCAAGTAGATCCAGTTTTACTCCTCCTGACACATAGTAGGATCATAGTTTCCAATCCTCTGAAGTTAAGTGTGGCCATGAGCCTTCCTTTGCCAATGAAAGGAGAACACCATGATAGTTTACTTCCTCACAAAGCCTTAAGATCCAGCACATGGCTCCTGCATTTTCTCTTTCCTCCGAATGTAACCAGCAACACTCCTGATGGTGACAGCTTGCTGGCCTGTGTCTCTCACTGAGGACAGAGTGCAGTAGAGGAGTGGAGACCTTACTGATCCATGATGGACATGTAGTGTGAGCAAAAAACAGAATTCTGTTGCTTTAAGCCATGGAGGTTTAAAAACTGTTTTTTTACAAAAAAAAAAATACCTATATAAAAGCAAAGACAATAGATGATCAAAACCTCTATACTCATTACTTAACTTCAACAATGATCAAGCTACAAGCCTCCATGATTTGGAGTTTGCTAGTTAATACAGCACAACCTAGACAACTCCTGCTAAAAGCAAGAGGAAAGGGTGTTATTTTATAGAAATGCTGAATGAGTGACAAGTTGGCAAAGAGAGTGGAAACAGAATTGATGAGATCTGGTTGTTATGCCTTATTTTAGTGAGATAATTTCTGTTTTTCTAATATTATAATTGAATAGCAACTTGGATTTTTCTTCTAGGCGCTGCCTTCCATGTTACTTATTTTCCTCTAGAAATCTAAGCACATCTAGAAACCAGAAGCTCCAACTGCTTGGCAACTGCACTGGAAATGCAACAGGATTAAAGTTAATTGCCTACTTCTATGTAAACCCTATCAAGCACCATTAAACTTTTGAAAAATGTGATTATTTTCGTTAAAATATGCTTTAGAAAGGGCTTTCCTATTGAATTATGTCTGCAATGTGTGCCTACATGTAAACACAAACCCGAGTTTTTCCAAATCTACAGTCAGTTGTATCACAGCAGTCTGATGGATTCATTGAACAAATGAAATGAAATCAACATTATTTCACAAAATTAGTCCATATGCCAGTACTTATCCTCCATGTCTGGTTTTGTTTTTGTCCAACCCAACTGAATTCTCTGTAACTGCTCCACCACTTACAGGGAGGCGAACCAGGGCAAGTCAGCCCTGCATGAGCTTCCGTCTCCTTCCTCGTCCCTGCAAACGTCTCTGCCTGTTGTCCCAACCAGATAAACCCAAATATGTCGTTCAAGGATCTGGGAGGAAAACAAGTCCTTCTGGAGATTCCAGGGAAAGGCGGGGGGGGGGGGGGGGGGGCCGGGGGGGCCAAAAGGGGGGGGTGAGGCGGGGAAGGGGTGGGGTAGCGAAGGGGGCGGAGCGGTTCCCGCATTTCTGCAGGAATTTCTGCCTTTAGGCAGCTTTCAGGAGGAACCAGGAAGTTTTGCCAGTTTTGTTCTCTTCTTAAAGCTGTTAGGCATCAGTTCGGGTCGCCGAAGGAGCGAAGGAGGAACTGCACGAGGACAAAGAGGTAAAGAAAAATGTATGAGGTCATCTAGAAAGTAGATGGGCTGAGCCCCTAAATGCTGCCGCACCCAGAGATCGGGGTTCAGAGTTTTTAAGGACTCGAGGGGGCTTTTCCTCGGCGGGGATTCTCCGGGCGGGTCCGGAGGGACGGTGACTGGTCTGAGAAAGGGAATGTGGTCTGAGCGGAAGAGAATGTCGGCTGCAAAATGGTCTTTGGGCCAGTTTCCCAGGGGAGGGGTATCAACTTGATTATTTGATCAGACCTCACATGCACGAGGCCAAAAGTGGTAGCGAATTATACATTTATTAGATCATCCTCATCTGGAAAGCAGATGGGCTCAGCCCCAAATGGTGCCAGCACCCAGGGACGGGGGAGGCAGAGGGTTCAAAGGGCTCTACGGGGGCTTTTCCTGCGGGAAATTCCCTGGGCCGGTCAGGACCCTGGGCAAGGATGGGACCGAAAGTGACTGGTCTGAGCAAAGGGACTGTGGTCTGAGCAAAGGGACTGTGGTCTGAGCGGAAGGGACTGTGGTCTGAGCGGAAGGGACGGTCAGTTGCCAAATGATCTACGGGAGTTTCCCCGGGGAGGGGGTGTCGCTGAGGTGGTTTGATCAGACCTAACAGAGTGTAGGGAGCTGAAGGTCTGCGTGGACTCGTGGAGGTGAAAGTTGCTGGATGCTGAGAATGGGGCTGTTTGGTGGAGTCCCTGATGTTTGGTCTCAGCCTGAGTGCATCCCCTGAGCTCGCAGTGCAGCTCTGCTGGCGGTGGGAGCGGGTCTTCTCAGTAGCGACACCACAGTGTTCAGTGGGAAGGGACGGGGCCCTGGGCTTTGTGCACCGCCTGCCTCCGTTTTGTGCCTCCGCCTCCTGTGTCTCACACGCAGGCCTGTGTAGCTGCCGCTGATTTTAGGAGGCAACTCACATATGCGGCCTGTGGAAGAGCAAGTCCCTTCTCCCCACGGACCCACTGTTTTGTAGTTCATTCTGGTCACACAGGGACCTCCAGGTGCAGTGTTGTTCCTTGGGGGCACTGGTTCCGATGTAGCAAATAGCCCAACAAAACCGTAACTGGTGGCTTGACCCCTGAGAAGGTAAGTTTGCATGTATTTCTGTGGTTTTGAAGGTATTTGACTGAACAAGTCTGTCCTCTCTGCTCTTCTTTCCTAGGTTCCCTAGCGATGCCGGTGGAGATGCACAGCCAGGGCCAGGACCGCCGTGTCCTCACCTGCACTGAGTGCAAGCAGCGGGTGGAGACAGGCTGGCACTGCCTCTCGTGCCAGGACTCCGACCTTTGCATCAACTGCTACAACACCAAGGGCCACACCCACGAGATGGTGAAGGTGGAGCTGGTCCAGAATGAAGAGGCCAAGGAGGGTGATGAGGGCGACAACCAGGGGGAGCGGCGGTTGAGGAGCCTCCGGGAGTTGCGGCGCCGGGCCATCCAGCGCTGCATCCAGTTCCTGAGGCACGCCCGCCAGTGCGGCGACGCCAGCTGCCCGCAGGCGTCCTGCCTAAAGATGAAGCGTGTCATGGAGCACACCAGGAGCTGCGAGCGCAAGACCAACGGAGGTTGTGGCGTGTGCAAGCAGTTCATCGCCCTTTGCTGCTTCCATGCCAAACAATGCCAAGAAAGCCCATGCCCCATTCCCTACTGCCTCAACATCAAGCAGAAGATCCACCAGCAGGAGTTACAGTACCGCCGGCAGCACGCCTAGCTCATGCGCCGGCGGATGCCACCATCCACAGCCACACCGTGCCTCAGCAGCGTCTGCCTTCCCTCCTTCAGCACCACCCGCGCCCCCCACACTGCATCCCAGCACACCCTGGACACCACAGCCCTCGACTCTGCCCCAGCCCTCGCCTGTGAGCATGTCTCTAGCCGGCCTCTCCAGCGTGGCCAGAACTCAGCCCCCACCAGTTTGCACTGGGAAGCCCACTAACCAGATGCCAGCCCCACGGCCCCTGCCAGGCCCACCTGCAGCAATGGAGGCGCCCGGCAGGTGGCACGTGAGGCACAGCAGCGGCAGCATCTGTACTGGGTGAGCACCAACAACGCTATGCCCTGCGGGACTGTGACCCCTGAGAGCCAGATGGCCCCCATGGGCCTGAATGTGACCCAACCAGGTCAGGGGGCCTGCTATTCTGCTCCCCGAGCCCCGGCAGTGGCAGCCGGCACCCATCGCCCAGCGACAGCCCATGTGGGGCATGCCCAGACCCGTGATGTCTATGCAGACCCAAGGTGCAGCCACATCAGAGCATCTCACCGGGGGGCCTGCAGGACCTGCTGCGGACCCTGAAGTCTCCCAGCTCCCCCAGCAGCAGCACGTGCTCAGCATCCCCAAGTCAAACCCTCAGCTGATGGCAGATCTCATCAAATAGCACACGGCCAAGTGAGTGCCCAGCCAGCCCGGCCTTCAGCTCCAGCCCAGCCTGCAGAACCTGAACACCATGCAAGCCAGCGGGCCCCGACCTGCTGTCCCTCCGCAGCAGCAGCAATGGGAGGCCTGAACCCCCAGGGCCAGGCCTTGAACATCATGTACCCGGGCCCAACCCCAGCGTGGCGAGAATGAACCACAACACTGAGAGATGCTGCGGAGCAGCAGCAGCAGGAAGGCAGCGCTGGCATGGCTGCAGGCCTGGAGGGCACGCCCAGTTCCAGCAGCCTCAGGGACGCTGATGCCACCCGCAGCCATGCAGCAGCAGCAGATCCAGCAGCGGATTGGGTCCCAGGCCAGCCAAACCGTGTTAGGACCTAACAGTCAGGCATATTCTGTACCTTTCCCTGCCCTCAGTTTCTCCCCTGCGCTCAGTTCTTTCTATTGTCCCCGCTTGAGGCTCCTGTCCTCTCTGCCGTTTTCCTGTTATTCTCATTTCAGGTGTCACAGGAGACAGCTAAGCAGCCGAGAAAAGCAGCTCTAGACCCAGCTTCCTGCAACCGCCTGCACCTCCATCCGACCCACACCGAGACATAAATATCCCGCCCTCCCTACTCTTGCTTGCTGAAATGGAAATGCTGGTGTGTATTAAAAATAAAGTTTCTAAAACTCTCACAACGTCTCTTGGCCAGTCTCTTGTCAGCACGGACCTAACAAACCCCATGAGCCCCAGCAGTACAGCTGTCAGACAGCCACAGGCCTCTCCTCCCTGGCCAGCCGATGGCCACATCCCTCAGTAGCCAGGTGAGATCTCTGGCCCCTGTCCCGTCTCCAGACCCCAGTCGCAACCTCCACATTCCAGCCCATCACCACGGATACGCCCCAGCCTTCACCACACCACCTCTCCCCCCAGACAGGTTCTCCCCACCCAGGACTCCCAGTGGATCAGGGACACTTGGGGAACCCCAAATATGCAAGGCTACCACAGCTGAATACCCCCACAGCAGTGCATTGCCCAGTGAGCTGTCCCTGGTTGGTGACACCACAGTAGACACCCTAGAAAAGTTTGTGTAGGTTTTGTAGCCTTGTGAGAAAATCACTATTTTTCGTTCCATGTTCTTGGACCGTTTGTACTGAAATCCAAGAATCTAGGCTCTTTATTCCTAGATGGAACTGCTACTTCCAAGCCACAGAAGGGTAGATTGCTGTTTAAAGAAACAATAAAAAGCATATGTTTTTGTTAAAAACCAGTTGATTTAAATATATGTTCTCTCTCTTTTTGCTTTTTCAATATTTTTTTTGTTCTTGGGGGAGAGCGGTTCTGTTTGGATTTTTTGTCATCATTGCTGGTGATTCATGCCTTTTTTTTAATGGGAAAATCAAGTCCATTATATCCATATTTTTACTTATATTTTTAAGGTTTTAAACATTTGTTTAAAAAGTGAGAAGAAATATAATATTCAGAAACTGATTCCTGAAATAATGCAAGCTTATAATTTATCCGGACAACTTTCTGATGTTGTGGGCAGATTTTTTCTATTGTGAACTCTGGGCATTCTCCCAGTATTACCCCTGTTGATAGGAATTGGCTCCTGGGTACACACACACACACACACACACACACACTCCCACACGTCTGTACTGGCTTAAGCCAAACTCGTTGGCAGACATAGAAAATGATGCTTTGTTTCTCTGATAAAACTAGTTTTAGACAAAAAATAGGGATGATGACTCTTAAGACCATGCTAATGTTAATAGAGAAGAGCATTCTTCTATGTGAAACTTGAAATGAGGAAAAGCAAATCTAGTGTCAATCATGCAAGGGCTATAACTACCACAAATAAGAAAAGTCAAGAAGACCAATCCCTGTATAGGATGGTAAAGTACCAACTCATTTCTTATATCATATTGTTAA